GAGAGTGATGAGTAGGGGAAACCATGGAGAGAAGCCAAGAAATATTTTAAAGGTGGAAACTGCTACCTCAGAGACTTTAAATTCAGCACATTCTACACTTCTCTAGGAGTCTCTCTGTGCCACGAATAGCAGTGACATGAATACCACAGGAACTGTGTCGAAGGGACCAGTCCAATCCAGGCCAGCACTGAGCAAAACTGCTACAGTTTGCAACCAGCCTGCGCTCCAAAATCTGGGGGAGGTAGGTAAATATTTTTCATTTTGTTTTAATTTTGCCTTAATTTTTATTTTAAATCAGAATCTTGGTCTGTTACCCAGGTTAGAATGCAGTGGCATGATCATGGCTCTCTGCGGCCTCAAACTCCCTGGCTCACATGATCGATACTCCTGCCTCAGCCAGCCAAGTAGCTGTAACTATAGGCATGTGCCACCATGCTCACCAAATGTTTTTACTTTTTGTAGAGGTGGGGTCTCACTACTTTGCCTAGGCTGGCCTCAAACAATCCTATGGTCTCGGCCTCCTAAAGTGCTGGGATTACAAGTGTGAGCCACTGCACCCAGCCAAGCATTCTCACATTCACTGTGATATTTTGATGACCTAGACAAGTTCTGGACTGTCTACTTTATGGGGTCATTGGTCTGTATGTTTAATTCTGCATGGTACTTACATGTACTGAATGAGGACCTGCGTTCATTTTGATTCCTCTCATTCTATTCGTGCTTACCACTATGTCTGCTGTGTAATACTTGCTTTACAAATGACTATTTATTCTGTACTCTTCTGGAAATGTAATATGATTTAGGTTGTAGCATGACGGAGCACAAGCCGATCAACAGATTAAATACAGACAAGGAATCTTTAATTGATGATTTTCCTTTCCTGTCATAGTTAAATTACCCAAAATCCACATCTTATTCATGGAAAAGTAAGAAATGTTCAAAGGTAAAAAAGGAGGAAACATGCTTTGAAAAGAAAACAAAGATCTGGCTGGTGTTTAGATTTTGTTTAGAATATGAACAGTGATTTGGGTGCTTCTAATAAATAGTTAGGAGTCTACCTGTCAATGTATTTTTCATGTTATTTTTATTCCTTTTAGAAATGAGGTCTCACTCTGCCCAGGTTTAAGTGCAGTGGTGTGATCACAGCTCACTGCAGCCTTGAACTTCTGGGCTCAAGTGATCCTCCTGCCTCAGTCTCCAAGCATCATCATGTCTGTCTCTTAATGCATTTTTAAAAACAAAGTAAACAGATAAAACAGATTGGAGAACCAAACTAGGGGAAGAAATAACTGATGACCAGCATGTTCACCCCAATTAATCTACACGTATACATATATCTCTGAGCCCTGATGCCTTGCTTTCCATAGTGCAGTAAGAATTATTTGAAGTACTGGTAAATTAGCCTTGTTCAGGATATTCACGAAGAACTGGTGAGGTAGCTAAAGACTGGGGGTGGGCATGGAAATGAAGGAAGACTCCTACCTGTTATTTCTCTTCTGTTAAAAAGGGAGAGATTACCCTAGAAAATACCAATGCATAAAATGAACTCTGCCCTGATAAGAAAGAGGACAGAGGAATAAAAGCAGAAGAATTATCACATGATTGGCTCAGTCTTCTTTGTCTCCTTTTGGTGATCTCAGTCTCCCCTTCCTCAGCATCCCCTCAGCACTGTAACCATATCACGCACAGGACATGTTGCCTTATGACCATAATTAAGACACGAAGAGATCTATCTCCCTGTATCTCTAGATCATTATCAATGACTGGCACACAGTAAGCTCTCAGTAAATGTGGAATATAAAATGAGTTAAGTAGATGTGAAGATAAAATTTAAGAGCTATAAGATGAAGTGCAAGCACAATCGTGTCCAAAATAAAGAAGGAAAAGTGAGAGCTCAATTAGATCCATGGGCTGGGTGTTAGGGGCCAGGAAGTGGTAAAGAAGAGTCTTCAGCATGAATCTTCCATCCTTCATGAAGATGCTAAAGTCCTGCCGCTGAGTTATTCACACAGAGTTGGAATCTGGCCCTGGGGAAAACCAAAGGCGGACATATCCTTGTCTGGTCTGCTTACTTCAACTTCATTTTCTATTTCTGGTTATAGTGGTCCCAAGACACATGGCCCATTGGAAGGAATATAGAACTGAAAGTTAAGAGACATGGGTTCTCCACTTAAATTTGTCACAGTGACCTTGGACAAGACATTTCACCTCTCAGATCCTAAGCTCCCTCAACTATAAAATGAGAGGATTACACTAGATGAACTCTGAAGTTCCCTCCAGGGAAATTCTAGAATTGCATAGTTCCTCTTTCTCTGTCTAGATTCCATTCTCTTACAAGAATATTTTCTTAACAGCTATGATTTAGATGGAATTGGGATTTATAAAATAAATAGAGCATCTTAGCTGATGTTGAAAAAAATAGTCTGAATATACACAATGAGAGAAGAGAAATATGAAGAGTCACAGCATGGTGACATTCATCATAGCAGATTGGGTCATGAAAAGGGGATTCCCAATTAGCTATCTACACATCTCCTGATGCTTTAATGGAACAAAGAAGATTTGACAAGATTTTGGGGCAATAAGAAAGTATGATATTGTGAAGGGACAAGAATAATTTATCCCATTTTATAGAAAGAAAAACCGAAGCCCAGAAAAGACAGATAACTCGTTCAAGATCATACTGTGATGATGAAGCCAACTTCCCACCCAATTATGTTGTCTGAATTTGTCAACAAAGAAATCACCACTGCTTCCAAGGAGCATGGTGCCACACCCCAATAAAACTGGGCAACCCCAGGGCCAACTTCACTCTTATGATCTCTGCTGCAATCAGAGCTGCTCAAAATTTCTGTAATGTTTGTTGTTAGAGAAAGTAACTGCAGGAATGACCCAGAGAGATTCTTTAGAAGATTTCCTGTGGTCAACATGCTTTCACTGGCTTTGGGTCAAGAAATCTGGTTTCCATTCCATTGTCTGTCACTTTAGGCTCTTGCATATTAATTTCCTTCTCTAGTAATCAAAAAATTTTTGAGAGAAACTTATAAAATGTAAAATAATCCCAGATGAATATATATGAAATATCATTTGAAGAGTTTTGTATGGTGTTACCAATTATCTGAAGAAATCATTCTTATCTACTTGTAAAATCACACACAGATGCACATATATATATATAATATACATAATTTATATTTAAATGTTTATGAGTGTATATACCACACGTAGACTCTATTCTTGTAAAAGTTATATATGTATATGTATATACATGCACGTGTACATATATATAATGTGTGTATGTATGCCTATATGTATATGACAGATAAGTATGTATTTATATCTCTTCCAGTCTAGCTGGGAAATCTGTTTCAAAATCAACTGCTGCTCTCTCCTCGGACTTGATATATAGCCAAGCAAGCCATTCTCGATTAACACTGCATCCTCCTGGGAAAGTCACAGAATAACTTTATTGATTTCTCTTTACCCTTCTTCACATTTCTCTGCTGAAATGTTGTCTTAACTCTTCAATGCAAAAGTGACAAGAAATAAAAATAAAAATGAAGAGCTTTGCTTCTTTAGGACCATATTAATTATATTTGTCTTATTTTAAAACCAAAATTTTCTTCAAAGAACAGAATCTCCACGTGGGATATCTATATGGTAAAGAAAAGAGAGGATGACATTCATCCCATGGTTTCCAGACAGCAGATTTCTTTACACTGAAACCTGTGCTTTATACACAATGCTGGACTCAGAACTACACGAACCTCAGTGTATTTTCTTAGGATTTGGCCAGCCATCTTTGAGAACCGCTGAGACATTTTGGCAAACAGTCCCTCCACTGTTTCCAGTACACCATAATATAAGGAAAGTTTGTTTCTTGTCAGTTTTTTCTAGCCCAAAAGATTCTAGGCATGATTAAGTTTTTTACCTTATCCTTCTTTTTTTCTTTCCTTTTTTCTTTTTTTTTTTAATAAATACAGAAAAATCTTTATTTTAAAGGCTTCAGGGTCACTGATGCAATTTAGGAGTTTCTCCAATGCAATTGAGAAATGCAAAAGGGAGATTCTACAGGCAGGATCTTTTCTGCCTGAAGCTTTTAAGCTCACTGAGGAAAATAACTCAGATCCTCACTTTCCCTCCTCTCAGCTCCTGAGCTGCCCTGAAGGCTCAGTTCTCACTGTGGGTAGGTATGGGTCAGGGTAGTGGAAAGAAAGCAGAGAAGGGGACTCCAGAGTGGCTTAAAGTAAAAGCTCTAAAACACCTTTTCCATTTCCCTTTCCTTTCCCCCAACAGATTTAGTTCTACTTACTCTAATAACTGAGTTCATAAAAGATTACTGGAATTTCTATTTCTTTCAGTTCCCTTTTTTAGCATCCACAGGTTTTTTTAAATAAAGGGAAAGAAAGGATAGACTTATTTACAACACAATCACAATCTTTGATTCTTCACTTTAAGCAAATAAAGATGCCTAGTGAAATAAATGGATTGTGTTATTTAAAATTGAAAGCTTATGGGAACCACCACTCAGAAGCATGCTTAAAAAATGAAGAAAGAAAATGAAAACCTTGTGACTAAACAAGATTATTCTGATGCCAAATGCTGAGTGTACAATTAAGTGGAGCAATGATTAACAATATGACAAATACTTCCAAGGTACAAATGAAATACACTCACAACTGTAAAGGACAGTGGCACTCTATGCTGCCCTAAGGTTTAAAATCACATGGCTTTTTTTTTTTTTTTTCATGAATTTGCAAGCTTAGTTTTAATTAAATGCCATTTACTTTTAACAAGCCAGTTTATCCTTTTTTAAAATTTTATTGTTTCTCTGCACAATTTGAATGAAATTTGGAAACGTTATGGGGAAAAGTAGGTAGAAAAGCATGTTAAGAATTGCGTCTTCTTGTTGAAATCAAGTTTTTTTCTGTGTTGTGCAGCCTGAATAATGGGGGAAATCTGTCCTAGTATCTTGCTGTATCTGTTCTATCTCAGTCCTTTTACAGGGCCTCAGCAAAGGAATTGCATAACAATGCAATTTGTATCCTGGTTAAACAGGAAGGTCTCTGAAGCACATGTCCAGGAACCTTCCCCTTCATGGCAGAGGAGCCAAGACTGTACCTTGTAAGAGAAAGCACTGTGTCCTTAGGTAACATAGGTTCTTTCTTGGAACCCAAGAGCTCTCTGTGGCAGACATGCTTTTACCTCTGGATAAATGGAACTGCCAGAGGCTCGTTCTATCCATCCTGTGTCAAGCACACGCTCAGATTCTAGGATCTCATAGAAATGTATTTTCTAGCCCTCTATAGCATCCAGATGAAATGCAACAAAGTCACCACAATTTGAAGCTACCATGTAAGAAAGTCCAGTTTAACTTCCATTCCCTTTTTTTTTTTTTTAAAGGAATCATCTTGCATTTAATCAATCAATCATTACAAAAAGTATTCATGCCACATACAGCCTAGTAACATCCAGGTGTGTGGTCATCTATAAAACTGGGGAAACCCAACGTCTATCCCTTTCCCAGGTAGGCAGCCAAGGGTTCTGGGGGTTCATCCACAGGGCTCACCAGCCTGGCCTGATGCTGCGTCCCAGGCTGTGGACCATTGATCCAAAGGCTTCTGAGTCCTGAGCACAGATCTGGGCTCCTTTCAGGCCTTTCCTTGAGCTGCCCCTGAACCCGTGTTGGCAGGCACAGTTTGCAGATGTGTTTGTGTGCAGGTGCAGCCCAACGTGAGACCACTGGCCCAGAGTCTCAGAGGCCCTGCTCAGGTGAATCGGCTGTGTTCTCAGAAGTTAGGGAGCTGAGTGGTTGTACGACATGAAGCACTAGTGCCGTGAGGGACAGAAGGGACAGAAAGAGGCCAAAGGCCATTGGCCAGCTGAGAAAAGCCAAGGCACAGGTATACTGGGCACCTGAAGGAAGCTCTACCAACTGGAGTCCTCCCTGGCAGGAGTGGTAGTGCTGATGGGAGCAGGGTGAAGCTGCAGGCAGGTCCAGCAGGCCCTGGGTAGAGCTCATCCTCTGTCTGTTCCTTCCCAGACCCCAGCGTGGCGGAGGAGAAGACACCGGCATAGGAAACGAAGGTGAATAGAAACACGAATATCCCCATTGTGGACTGGCCAGGTGCAGTATGATGCGATGTGATGGGTTGAGTGTCTGTATCATCGCATCGCACCAGGATTTTAGGCTCCGTCACTCCCGTGCCTTATGCAATTGGCAGCATTATTTTAAAAATAATGATTTTTCCTAATTATAAATGTAAAATGTATTCATTATAGAAATGTCATCCACAAGCCTCTCACTCAGAGAGAGCCACTGATAACTGTTTCTTTCCTTGGAGTACATTCCACTTCCCCTTGCTTCTTCACTGCACCGTGTGCCCTGTGCTTTCCTCCGTCATGAACTGCTCTGACAGAACGTGAGACAGAATTCCATCTCAGACATGCACCTTGATCACCCTCCTCTCACTCCTCAATGCTTGCATATCTGTGCTGCATGTTTCTCTTCAGGATCTTCATCAAGTTTTTATAAGGTAGATCTCATATGGAATACGCTTTGCCTAAGCACAGTGTTAGACCGGAAGAAAAAAGTGGTGGTATCCTTCCTCCTCTTCCTTTCTTCCCAACTCCTGCTATTCATGGAATTTCCCTTGATTTCAAGTGGCTACTCACCAGAATCCTCAACTGAAAACAGCTTCCAAGGGGTCATGTACTTACTCAGTTCTATTCTCTTCTCTCTTCTCTCAAAACACAACATCATCTGACCAAGGTTTGCATGCATAAGCATTGCTAATTAACAATAAGTCTCAACAATGTCCTCTTCTCAATAAGTTTGACACACAGACCACAACAAAGCTGTATCCATTGCCTAAAAGTCAGGAAGATCCCCATGTTGATTTCTGAAGCGTAAAAGGCAGGGATGCGTATTGGACTTCTTGTCTCTTACTGTGAACAGACCTAGGAGTACTTAACTTTATTTTTTAGAAAGAACCCAGAGCTGCTGGTGCCTAAGGGTGTTGTTCCAACAGAAACTAGAATATCGAGAGAGAGAATTGATCCAACTCTCTTGTCTGGTGCTTATAAAACATGAAAGTATCATCCTCACCATGGCAGACCAGAGGGAGTGATCACTGTGAATTGTGAAGTCCTCTTCTCAGTGATGCATTGCAAACAATTTCCCTGGGGAAGAAGCAAGCTCCTGACCACAGTGTTGTACACAAATAAATAAACAAAATGCTATTACTTTTTGTTCTTCACACTGGGAGGAGTTCAGAAACATCTTGTTTCAATTGATTGGCTGGAATTATAGAAAAACGTTGATCTTGTCTTTCCTTGCTAGTTCTTTGCCTGAGATGTATTGGTAAAATGGAACATGAGTCACATTTCTAACTGGGAAAAGCCTGGTAATCATGGGCAACCCAAATCTGGGTGACGTACAGAGTATTTTTGTGTTGAGAGAGAAAAGACACTAAAAGTAGAAGCTTCTTAGTTAGCAGCAGCAGAGAGTCTGTATGATTGAATCTGGTGTTTCCCATGGCCTGCATCATGGTATAATGAGAAGGAACGTGTCTTGCACAGATTAGCCTATAAACTTTTCTAATTAGGACCAATATGTGACATATACAAAGGTAAGATCAACTGTAAGGAGGGATTCTCTTCATTACCACCAAGCCATGATGATTGCTTGAGTTATCATAGCCTTGGTCTCTTGATTTCCCTTATATTATTTGAGTAGGAACTCAGGCACATGATGTTCCCCATTAACCATAACCATAATGGTACTGGATTTTAAAATCCAATACCATTTTTTTTAAAAAAGGCCAGGGTTGTAGACAAAAGAGTGATGTCAGTGGGAATACAAGAGGGAGTTATGTAGCCTATTCTGAGAGTGAAGTCTGGTTTGGATCTTCTCTGCTACTTCTGAATATTTCGTGCTAGAGGCAGAACAAGTATCCAGAGAACACTTTGGAACTGTCCTTAATTTACAAAGGACCTGTAACATTCAATTAGAGGGAACACAGAATGTTCTACTCTAGCAAAATTTAAAGGTAATATAGGAAATTCCATCAAATGTCCTGTGGAAAACTGAATGGATAAAAGTAAAACTGAAACCAAGAATGTGGATAATGGGATAATTCAATATAGATTTCAAACCAGAATTTGCCACTTAATAACTGTGAACTTGGGCAGAGCACTTAATCTTACTGAACATTAGATTCTTTATTTATAAAATGGGGACCATAATATCTTCTTTGCCTAATTACTTTGGGGATTAATGAGGGAAGGAATATAAATTATTTATCACAAGGTCTGGCACATAGTAAGCACTTTGCAATGTTATTTTCCTCCTTTTATTGATGAATGCTTTTCAGATTTCTACTTGGCCTCTCCTATTTGAGTTTGTAAAATACTAATTTTCTGTACTGTCTGGCAAATCTATTCAATCTAACAGTTTTTTAAATTTATTATAAATGTGAGACATAGAAGGAAGATGAACAATAAATACTATATGCCATTTTTGTAAAAGACACCCATAATCTACTGAGAAAGCTAGAAACATGCTTTGTCACTATACGTTAAAAAGTATTAAGTGGAATAATTTGGTTATTTAAACATTTGGGAAAAGGGGCAATCTAATTATGTGCCAGGCACCATACAAGGTGGCAAAGACTCAAAGGTGTATAGATGCAATTATTAAACTCCAGAGCCCTTAATTTTTTTTTTTTTTTTTCTTGAGACAGACTCTTGCTCTGTTGCCCAGGCTGGAGTGCATTGTGATCTCGGCTCACGGGAACCTCCATCTCCCAGATTCAAGCAATTCTTCTGCCTCAGCCTTCTGAGTAGCTGGGATTACAGGCACCTGCCACCACACCTAACTAATTTTTGTATTGTTAGTAGAAACGGTTTTCACCCTGTAATCCAGGCTGGTCTTGAACTCCTGACCTCAGGTGATCCACCTGCCATGGCCTCTCAAAGTGCTAGGATTGAGGCGTGAGCCATTACATCTGACCTGGGCCCTTAATTTAGTACAGGAAGAGACTTATAAACAAACTTCAACAGAAGATGGAGAGAACCAATGACCAAGTAAAGAAGTGACTCAAAGGATAAGAAATCACTTCTGTTGAAAGTATCAGGCAAGATTTCACAGAGGAGAAAATATCTAGGCTAGATATACAAAAATAAGTAGGTTTGTAACTTAGATAAAATGGACAAATTCATTGAAAAATACAACTTACTAAAACTGTCATAGATATAACAGAAAACACATATAGCATTGTGTTTATTAGAGTAATTCAATTCATTATCTTAACCTTTCCACAGAAAAAGTTTCAGCTCCAAATGGTATCACGGGTGATTTGAATCAAAATGGTCAAGTAAAAAATGACACTAGTCTTATAAAATTCTTCAAAAAATAGAGGAACAGGGAATACTTGGCAACTTACTATTTTACCAAATAGGGCAAATAAGTTACATAATAATTACAAACCAATGTTCTGCATGAGTCTACAGGTGAAAATCCTTAAAAAAATTTTAATAAAATCTGACAACATACAAAAAATACATCCTGGCAGGGCACGGTGGCTCACGCCTGTAATCGCAGCACTTTGGGAGGCCAAGGCAGGCAGATCACCAGGTCAGGAGTCCAAGACCAGCCTGGCCAACATGATGAAACCTGTCTCTACTAAAAATACCAAAATGACCCAGGCGTGGTGGCACAAACTTGTAGTCCCAGCTACTCAGGAGGCTGAGGCAGGAGAATCGCTTGAACCTGGGAAGTGCAGGTTGGAGATTGCGCCATTGCACTCCAACCTAGGTGACAGAGCAAAACTCTGTATCAAAAAAAAAAAAAAAAAAGTAAAAGAAAAACACACCCTGAACAACTAGGGTTTATTTCAGGAATGTAATTTTGGTTTGATTATTCAAAAATCAATCAACATACTTGATATCAATAAAATAAATGAGAAAAAGTGTATCATTATTTCAATACATGAATAAAAATTATTTGATAAAATTCAACACCTACTCATGATTTTTTAAATAAAAAGCCCACCTCTTAATATATTAGGAGCAGGGGAATTTTCTCAATCTGATAAAGGATATTCTATTAAAAAAATTGCCATCATCATACTTAATAGTGAACTATAATATGATTTTCCCCTAAGATGAGAACAAAGCAAAGACACCTACTCTTACCACTTCTATTCAGCATTGCTCTTGCTATCTTAGTCACTGTAATAAAGCAAGAAAAATGAAAAAAAGCATAAATAGAAAATGAAGTAAAACTCTGTTTGTAAGCAGCATAATTGTTCATGTAACCAGAATATCTTAAAGGAATCTACATAACAATGACT